CCTGCCTGTCTGTCTGTCTGTCTGTCTGTTTGGTCCTCCCTGTCTATCTCTCTACTTAATCCTTGAGTCCCTCTTGCCCCTTTCTACGATACCACTCAGTCGGCCGGCTTGTGTGTGCGTTTGCGTATTGGCACATTCTGCAAAAATATTCACGTCGTTGCTTCATTCGCCCACCCGCCCGGCTGCCCGTCCCTCGACGCGTCAAAACGTTTGTTGCACCGCAGGCCGTGCGCCAAGTGTTCAGCTTGCTAGGGAGCTCCAAGGTTTTCGGCAGGGGGGGGGGGGTTCAACCGCGAGATGAGTGAACAGACAAACATCGGGGTGTTGTGTTGTGTCGAAATTTTCGCGCTGCAGATGTAGTTGTGCCTAGCAGCCTAAAGGTTGGCCTCCAACTCTCGTTCGATGGGCAAGTGTCCTCGGTTCATATGCATACACCCGTTTTCTTGTTGCTTGCGGAATGTTGTGGGAACTTTGGCGGTGCGATACCACACTGCTGCAACACGAAAACACCTCATGCCTATCCGCCAATAGCCTCCGCAAGGTGTTTGCGTCCAAGTAAAACATGCTGGAAAAACACATACACAATGGGGGAAGATGGGTCAGGGATACGGTTGGGAAATAGGGTCTGCGTACCCCCTCTCGCTGTTCTATATCCTCATACACTTCATTTCTCGCCAAGGCGGTCCAAACTAATTTTCTCGCGAAAGCGGTTCGAACCAACTTTCTCGCCAAGGCCGTCCCTATCCACATGCCGCCCCCAACGTCAAGAGAGATGGCCGTCCCTCGCCGCGGACGACAAAAAACGACAGCTGCCTAGCATACATCCATGCACACAAACACACCTGGAAGGTGGACTGGACCATGATGTTGCGGAACATGGGCCTGCTGATGAGCGGGGCGTTCCGCTTGTAGGGGCGGCGGTCCAGCAGCGCAAGCGTCGGTGCCTCCGTACCCAGCGCCAGGGCGCCCATGGTGTCCATGATGAGGTTGACCCAGAGCATCATGAGGGGGTTGAGGGGGGGGTCCTTGCCGGAGAGAGCCCCGATGAACACAATCAGAAGAGCCACCACTGGAGGTTCCACGAGCGAGAAAATACGGGAGAGGGAGGGGGGGGGAGTCGTTGGTGTTGTTCTTGTTTCATATCTAAGACCGCTATGTGAGGTATTTCACCTATTCAAAAATAATTTTGCAAATATATCAACAACTGAACTACCAAACAGAAGATCTCAATGGTCGGTTCAGCAAGGGTTCCACGACAACACCGCCAACAGCAACACTAGCAACAATAGCAGCATCAAGCACCAAGAAGGCGGGCTTACCATTGACGGTCAACTGGAACTGAAGGAACTTGCGGATGTTGTCGTACACCCCCCGGCCCCACATGATAGCCCTCACAATGGAAGAGAACCTGTCATCGAGGATAACTATGTCGGACGCGTTTTGGGCCACCTGTTGTAGGGGGGGGGGCGGGCGGACACGCGAGCTGTGAGTGGACAGGTATCATGAGTTGATACACGAGCAAAAGACGCCACATACGGTAGCGTCCTCCAGATCCACGCACGGAGGGGCCGTCTCGCATGGGATTTATATTTATCATAGCCAACGGTAAAACTCATCATACGGTTCACCGTCGTCAAATGTCACAAGTCCTTCCTTACTACGCGACAAACCACGAAACATCCCCGCCATCCGCTCTCTTACCTTCGTCCCGGTGATTCTTATGGGACACCACCATACCGTAAACGACAAACCACGAACAACTCCCGTCTTCCGCCCTCTCACCTTCGTCCCGGTGATTCTCATGGGACACACCGTACACTATCCAACAAACCAAGGAACACCCCCGTCATCCGCCCTCTCACCTTCGTCCCGGTGATCCCTAGGAAACACCACCATACCCGCTAGCTCAACAAACTACGGAACCCCGCCCTCTCACCTTCGTCCCGGTGATTCCCATGGAAAGACCCACGTCCGCCGCCTTGAGGGCGGGCGCGTCGTTAGTGCCGTCGCCCGTCACTCCCACAACCTCGCCCGACTTGTTCTGGCGCTTCCACTCCTCCTTGTATCCGGGGAGCAGAAGGTCCTTGTGCGCATCCCAGGACAGCCCGAGGTCCCCGTCCTTGTCGTGCAAGTGCTTCCACTCCTGTACAATAACACCAAAACATGAAAAGAATGAAAAAAATTGTAACGGTTGGGGGGGGTGTACCAATGTAAACTCATGCCGTCGTCGTATCCCTACAACGCAGGGACGGAGCGAAGTACCGAGTTTTCGACGGCCCAGCTACTATTAATATCTACGTTTCACAAGGATGAAAGACAAGCTCGTCATCGTCCCAGCGTTTTGGTTTGCCACTGGAGCAGGGGGGGGGGGAGGGCGCGGACTGGACTCACCTCCTCATTGGCGGGTATGCCGTTGCCATTGAGCCGCGTCACAAGCAGGTACTTGTCGTTGGGAGAAGAGCGTGCCAGCACCTGAAGTCGGGGGAGGACCTCATCCACCTACAATAAAATTGGGGGGGAGGTAGAGGGGGGGTACTTGTTTAGGCGGGCCAGGGGCCAGGGGGGGGGGGGGGGGGGAGAACAATGCCCAAAACGCTATTTAACGGCCATCACGTGTAACCTGCAGTTATCAACCTCCCAGGGGGGTGAATGTGGCA